AAAGAGTGTGCAGTTTTATGCCTCTGACCCCCTTCTGAGTGTGGCAGCTGTTATCTAGTTCAGTTCACTATTGCAGTTGTTTTAACTTAATTAGACAAAAACTCGACATCTGGTTCTTTTAATGTTCTGGATCTCAGTTCATAAGAAGACTGACTGTACACAGACTCTGTCTACCAGTGTTGTTTAGAAAAATACAGCATTAGAAGTTGTTAAAAGGTAAGAATGAAAGTCAGGAAGAACATGGTCAAGCATGATTTTAACACAGAATAAACAGGAATGACTGAAAGGGTAGCAAGATTTGTAGTTAGAGGTAGTATTTTTCATTAGACAAAGAAAATTGGTTGGAGAAATCAAACAGGCTTCTAGTGGCACCAGTGTTTTTCGCACAGTAACGTTTTGTGTCACATGGAGAATGGCTGGTATTCTCAAAGGCTTTGCTAATTATTTTTTCTAATTGATGTTAGACCAACTGCTTGATTGCAGCTACCTGCAGTAAGAAGTCAGTTTGTTGTAAAATTTAAATGGAAGGTTTAAAATGGATGATAAAATCTTTATTGAGCAGTTTGATTTTGAAATGTTGAACAGTAAAACTCTTTGAGATATATCAAATGCTTTGAGATGTTGTATGTATGAATACACTTATATTTGTATGTTTCATAGGCTAATCTAGTAATCCAGGAGAATCGGCTAACCACTGCTATGCTGGATCTGCAGAAAGCTCAAGAAGAACTGGGTGCCAAGCAAGAAGAATTAGATATTGTGCAGGCAGAGTATGAAAACGCAATGAGAGAAAAAAAGGTAACTGCTCTTTACAGAAAAGAAGTTGCCACATTTTAAGGAAAACTGAATGCATTCTCTCAATTTCACTGTTATTCCTTGGAAAGGATGTTGATGAACAGCGAATGAGAGAGAGAGATTATTTGGATACTGACTCTTTGGATCCCATCTCTCTCCTCTCTCTCTGATACTCTTGCCTGCTCCCTTCTGCCTCCTTAATATGTTTTTTATTCGGATTATTTGTTTAGCACCTACGACTGTAACATCAAATGTCTTTAATGTATGTTATCTCTGCATAATGGGCAGAATTCCCAAGACTTAATAGGCACCAGGCAGTTTGCATATCTTTTAACATGTATGCCAACATGAAAGTTAAGAGCAGATAGATAACCAAGTTAAATCATATTTATGACAGATGTTAATAGTTTGTCCTGATGTGTCTTTTCCGTCCTATTTTTCCCCTCCTTATCTGCATGGTGATATAAGTGAGAATATAAATGTAAGCTGTTGTTTAACACCTGGTTTAATTAGGTGTAGAGATTTTTCTGGTCTATCAGATACTTAACTGTAAACCATCTTTCTTGGTGTATGGTTTTGTCTAGACTTTGCTTGAAGATGCTGAGCGTTGTCGTCATAAAATGCAAACAGCCTCAAGTCTGATAAGTGGTTTAGCAGGTGAAAAAGAGAGGTGGACAGAGCAGAGTAAAGAATTTGCCATGCAAACTAAGAGGCTAGTGGGTAAGTTTTTCTCCCACCTTTGAACTTGGAAGTAAGTCACTTGAGTCATAATGGGTTGTGAAATTGGAAATATTTAAAGTTTCAAACTTTTCCTTTTTAGTTTAGCTACCCTGTTGCTAGAATGAGAATAACTGTTATTAAATCTCTTGCTAAAGCACTGCTAGGTAAAAAATAGAATATGACACTAAAGTTCATATTAAAAAAAATACAGGAACTTTAACTGGGCATGGGTTTTAACTTGAAATGTATAACATGGAGAGCATACTTGGGACACTAATGTTTTAAGTTTGCTGATGTTCGTAGATAGCAGTCCAAAGACAGTGTTATGTTAGCAAGTGCCAATAGAATGTCTATAACTGAGAATACATATGGATGAGAGGAAGACTTATATTCAGGCACTGACATTTATATGTAGAAACAGTTTTTTTAAATGCAGTTATTAATGTTCATCAAAGTTTTGTTTCCTAGAAGCTAATTTTTATTTTGTAAATATGCATTTGGAAACTAAAGTTCGAATAAATAAGGAATTAATTCATTAGTGAGATCAAGTAAAACAAATTTATCTTGTCCTTTAGTGTGGACTGAAATTTCTTCTCTCTCTTTTGTCTTGAAATGTTGTAAAAAGCATGTATTGTTGTACAGGTTGCATTATAGTAGATATTTAATTTGCTGGTATAATATGTATACGTATATTATTAACTTACTAAAACTATAGGATACCTTCCCCATATACTTATCATGGGTTTTTTTTTTATAGTTAACTTGAAAAAGTTTAAAAAATATTAGTGCTCTATAAAAGTACAGTACCTTCTCCAGTTTGAATCCTGCATTCCCACTTCAGAGGCAAAAAACCCCCAAACTGTGGTGTCATGAAACTTGGGGGACAGTTTTGAACTTGCCCAGAAGATTAAAACTTGTCACACTTAATCCCTATATAATGATGTTTATTACAATTTTTATTAATAGCAATAATAATTGTAATTTATTTGTTCTGAAATACTACTCTTAAATAAAGGTTCTTTTTTTCCCTCCAAAATATGGTTTAAGCTGGTTCTTATGATTGTGCAAGGAAATGATGGAATTGGAAGTTTGTGAGTAAGTTTATTCTGCCGTGTCCTGCTTGTGCAGGATCTGTTGTTTGGAATAGTGTTATGTGTGTGTGTGTTGGGTTGACCTTGGCTGGCTGTCAGATGCCCATCTCTTGATTTCTGCAGTTGCACTGTAAGAAGTAATACAAAGTAGACATGACATCTATGAAATGTAGCATGCTCTTGCTATGTAATGAACCTTGGGAAAAAAGATGACAAATCAGCCTTATGGCTCAAAGTTTGTGCTTCAGTTATCAGCCAAATGAAACAACAACCAGAGAAGGAAGCAGCTCATTCATGAACAGAATAGACAAAGTTGTAATGTTTTGTTTTATTTTTTCCACTTTTTCTCTTTAAGGTGATGTCCTTTTGGCTACAGCTTTTCTGTCCTATTCTGGTCCTTTTAACCAAGAGTTCCGCAACCTGCTATTAAATGACTGGCAGAAGGAAATGAAAAGCCGGAAAATCCCCTTTAGTAACAACTTGAACCTCATAGAAATGTTGACTGATGCTCCAACTATCAGTGAATGGAACCTACAAGGATTACCAAATGATGACTTATCCATACAGAATGGAATCATTGTCACTAAAGCATCTCGTTATCCTTTATTAATCGATCCACAGGCACAGGGTAAAATTTGGATTAAAAATAAAGAAGGCAGAAATGAACTTCAGGTAATAAGAGTATTGGTGCTTTCATAATCCCTAGAAATTCTTAGCTCACAAAACATTATAATTCAGCGATTCAAATACTTCTTGGCAAATGCCTTTTATTTAAATTGCTTAGGCTGAATATAAAGGATATTTCAGATATAATTGGGCACATATTAGATTTGAGATTTGTCTAGATATGAAGATGTACATTTGAAGCTTATTAGTTTCAGTGTCTTGATTTGTTTAATGGATTTATTTAATGAAACTTAAGCCTTTGGAAAATAGGCTGGATGGCTAATGTCTGGTAAGAGTTGAAGCATGTTTACAGAATATAATAAGCATTACCAAAACCCCAAGTAAGTGATTAATACAAGTTCATATAAATGTTTAAAACTGAAGATGCAGAACATATTTTTATCATCTTTTAATTAGAATTATTGATAATTCGTGTTGTCTTAGAATGGATGTCAGGTGTTAAATGTTTTGCAAACGTACAGTGAAGACAGTACTTCAGCAACATCGGTCTGAGGCAAGATACATCAATTCAGTGCAAACAAGAAAATATGAGAAAGTCTGCACTTGCTACATTTGTGATTACACCAATAAACCAGCTTTTTCGAAAGATATCTCTGAAAAAGATAAAGAGAAGTTTGAAGGGTGATAATAGAGTTGTTGAGAGTATTACTAGGAAATTACTTTCATTCATGTTGATTGTTGTCTCAGTACAGAACCCTTTAATGGTTGCCTAGCCTGTTATGTAGTTATGTTAAAAAATTATTATTAGACTTCAACTGTAGAATTATAAATGAACTAAGCTGAATGTGCTTTGTGTACATGTTGACAAGTAATCAAAATTGTCCTGAGGACTCCTTTTTAAAACAAAGACTATTTAATGTCTTGTTAAATATAAGCTTCTAATTTTTAAGAAAACAAAAAGGGGCCCTAATCTTGGAATTGACCTTGCTGCAGTTTGACTTGGGGATGTTATCCAAGGTAAAACTGAAAATGATAAAAGGTTCCTGTAAATTTCTGGTTTGGTTGCATTCATAGGATATCAAAATTGTAAGTGTTCAGTGCTGCTTTGCTTCGACTTTTATAGTTGAAAAAGATGAGTTTGCCTTCAGTGACATCTGAGAGTACTGCACACTGATGCTACATTTTTTTGTGCTCACAGTCTTTGCCTCAATCCTAGTCTAACCATAGGATCATTGTTTTTGTCAGTAATACAAATAAAATGAAATAATTTTTGAGAATGAAACAAAAACCTTGGAAACTGGGTGTAACATAATATGTAATATAAATAAAATGAAATAATTTTTGAATATAAAACAAAAAGCTTGGAAACTGGGTGTAACATAATATGTAGGTCCATAATTGTATTTTTAGGTCACTTCTTTGAATCACAAGTATTTTAGAAATCACTTAGAAGACAGCCTTTCTTTGGGAAGACCTCTTTTGATAGAAGATGTTGGAGAAGAGCTAGACCCAGCACTTGATAATGTTTTGGAAAGAAACTTCATTAAAACAGGTTCAGCAAATAAGGTAAAAATAAAACAAATGAACAAATAAGTGGAAACAGACATAACCCTCCTTGCCCTCAACAAAAAACCTTGTATAAGTATATGACTTTGAAGATTAAAGTCATATTTAAATTTGATTAATGCTAATACTAAAATAAGTAGAGTTTAAGATATCAAATAGTAAATATATTTAACCTACAGAGTTCATTATCCCTTTGCTTATGTCAATTTTTAAAGACTAAAATTATCTGTGAATGAATAACTTAAAGTGATCCATAGATATTTTCAACAAATACTTAGCATCAGACATATAATTTAAAACTAGATTTTTACACCTTTTAACAGAAAAATGTATCCTGTGTTTCTACATGCAGTA